AATGCTTTATTCATTGCCTCTAAGCTTCTGCTGTTCTTTGGCCATTGTAAAAATTCCCAAATTCCAAATTCCCAAGTTTTTTATAAAATTGGACACAAAACATGACTCAGTATTCAATATGTGGGGTTTTTGTTCTTTTTTTTGTTGTCCCATCTGTATCCTGTCATCCCATATGTCCTTCCCCCCATTAAAAATGCCTATCATCTGTTTAGGAAGCAGAAATAAAGTCTCTTATCAGGGCCAGAATCATGGCAAACCTCTGCTATTCAGATGTGATGGGTGATGCTAACCAAAGTCATTTGGCAACTGGATGGAGATACTTGAATGCTTTCAGAAATATGTATTTCAGAAGCAAACAAATGGGTAGATGGAAATTGCCCATTTGATTCTCACAGAGCTCTGTAAAAAGACTTTGATTAGAGCCATTACAGAATCACAGGACAAAGTGCCTTCCACTGCTGCAGGTGGTTGTTTGAGGAGATGAGACATACCTTGAACTTGCTGCTGCTGTGAGTGCTGTTGGGAACTTGAAATAGGATGTGCACTTCGTCAGCCAATGTTAAAACATGGAGAAATGGAGCAAATTCCTTGGCCAGCTCTAATGTAGGGTAATGAGCAGCTGACAAGCACTGCCCAAAGGACATGGAAAAATGAAACTCACTGGAACATGACATGACCAGGAGTTAAAAAGAACTAAAACTGAGGAGCTCATTGAAAAACAGCAATCACAGAACCCCAGCCTGGTTTGTATTGGAAGGGACCTTAAAGCTCCTCCAGCTCCAACCCCTGCCATGGGCAGGGACCCCTTCCACTAGAGCAGCTTGCTCCAAGCCCCTGTGTCCAACCTGGCCTTGAACACTGCCAGGGATGGGGCAGCCACAGCTTCTCTGGGCACCCTGTGCCAGCGCCTCAGCACCCTCACAGGGAAGAGCTTCTGCCTAAGAGCTCATCTCAGTCTCCCCTCGGGCAGGTTCAAGCCATTCCCCTTGGCCTGTCAGAGCTAACAGTGAGAGCAACTGAGGCTCACAACCACAGGAGAGGAAGCCAAAAGCCAGGTGTGGGTTGTGAATCCATCTTGAATCGTGCAGACTGTTGAAGGGGAACTTGCAAACAGCAAATAAATGCAGCTTTTCTAAAAGGCTCTAAACAAAAATGTGTAGGTGATTGCTGAGAAATAGCACATGGCCTTGCCATTGCTCTGTGGAACTCCCGAGTTCCTTCCTCAAATAGCCAAATGCACTTCACAGTAACTAGCTAATGGCAAAGACTCCGGCTTCCCTCCCTGGAAATAACATTTCTGTGTTACACATCTGCTGTGAGAGATGTTTTCCTTCCCTTTCCTTTTTTTTTTTCCCCTTCTAGGCTTGGAGGAGGTGGAGAAGATTCAGATGAAAGAATTCAGTCTCTAGAGCAGCGCTGATTGTCATAACTGCTATTGACTCCTGACCTGCTTTTTTTTTCCCCCATTGATCTGCAAATAGCATAAAAGCCAGGGCTATGAATCTAAAAATGAACAAAACAAAGCAAAAAGCTTCATCTGGGCTGTTGCTGATTGAGATTTATGTGATCTTTTGCAAAATTAATAGAATGTTGCTGAGGAAATACCTCTAGTCCTTCTGATTCAAAGAGGCGCAAATTGTTTCATTGTTTCTTAAGGTCAAGCAAAACCTTCATCGTGCAACTCATGAAAGGCTACTGAGCTCTCCATAAAATTAGATCTTGACCATTATATCACATCTCTCTCTGGTTGGACTCTGAGGGATTCTTACAGGAGCAGCTGGGTGTTTTCCACATGTAAAACCAGATTCCCAAGTGCCTCCTGCTCTGGATATCAGCACAACAGATCTGCAAAACCTGTGTCCTGGCTTGGGAAGGCGCTTCCCTTCAGGCCTAGGGAACAGCACCAGTGATCACAAACACATTCACAAGCGTTCTACCTCAAAAATTAATGCATTCGGCAAACCCATGCATCGGTCGACATGGTCTAGTATGAGGTGTCCTTGCCCATGGCAGAGGCTTGGAACTAGATGATCTTAATGTCCTTTCCAACCCGCACCGTTCTGTGAGTCTATGGAATGTGTGGCCAGCTGTAAAAGAAGTAGTTTTGTGTGCCTGTCAGGGGAGGAACCACGTTTCCCTCTGCACTGCAAGGCTGTGAGAGAACAGGCACCGATCTCACGGATCTGAACCCTCTTCTTTCTTCCCTTTTTTCTTCTTATGAAAAGAATGGCATCATCTAGTTCAGCACGATAGCATGGCTGAGACTGCAGGAAGAGCAGGAAGCCTCGGATGGGGTGGGGAGGGTTGGTTGGTTTATTTGGGGTTTTTAATTTCCCCTGCTTGAAAAGTTTAAGGTGAAAAATAGCAAAGTGGGGACTGATTTGGGAGCCACGGAAGGGTCTCTGCAGCAGGGAGGAAGGGTCGCTCTGATGCCTTTGGCTAAGGCAGGCTGCTGTTGTCAGATGGAAGGTGAGGATTATCGGTAGCTTTGGCAAATGAGCAAATCGTCCTGGGACAAAAAAGGATTTTGAAGCCCTTGAGATGCTCTTGTGAGAGCGATGGAATGGGCGTCATTCACCGGAGAGGCTCTTTATTGGAATGTGTCCTTAAAAGGGAGAAATGTGGGGAGAAGCCATTGACAGGTCTTCAGGACCCATTGAAGCAGGAGTGGTGTGTGTCTGCTGGGGCTTGTGCACAAAACAGAGCAGTTCTCGGTACTTTACTCTTTTGTGTGGCTGCTGTTGGGACAAGGATGCCCTGATGCAGCAGTGCCCCTGGGTAAGCCCTTGTCAGGCTGAGCTGGGTGGTGTTTCAGACCAAGCTTCCATCAGACACATGCTCAGGGAGACACTAGGGTCTAAAGGTGTAGGTTCTCAGTTTACAAGGTCGGTGATTTGAAAAGGAGATAGAGGTTTGATGACGATATTTGAGGTGAGGTTGGGCGGGAAACAAGACATTGTGAAGATGCGGTGCCTTGAGAGCTGCTTTGACAGTGCTGACAGCAGAACTGAATGGGCGATGGTAAAAATGACACCTGAGAACTACACAAGGAGGAGGTTGCCAAATGTTTGGGATGTGCTGTTCTATGTTTGCTGCCTGCAGGAAGAATTCCTGTCTGGGCAGGTCCTACGGGAGATTGTTGTGTCTTCAAATGTGGGATGGTGACAGTGTGAGATGGGGGAGGCCTCTCGCTGATATTTGTAGAATCCCAGCCTGGTTTGGGTTGGAAGGGACCCTAAAGCTCCTCCAGCTCCAACTCCTGCCACGGGCAGGGACCCCTTCCACTAGAGCAGCTTGCTCCAAGCCCCTGTGTCCAATCTGGCCTTGAACACTGCCAGGGATGGGGCAGCCACAGCTTCTCTGGGCACCCTGTGCCAGCGCCTCAGCACCCTCACAGGGAAGAGCTTCTGCCTCAGAGCTCATCTGTCTCCCCTCGGGCAGGTTAAAGCCGTTCCCCCTTATCCTCTCATAGTTAACAATGATAGCAATTGTGGCTCACAACCAGAGTCTGTCCTGCTGGCAAACCCAGCTCAAAATGCACAGTGTTGCCTCAGGAATATTCCTAACTATTTTTCATGGCAAATGTTTGACTCCTGCTTGCAGGAAGTTCCTGCTGGTGGTCCCAATGGATGGTATCATGTGTTACAGCTGCTGCATGTGCACTGATAGAGGGAGTTGTCTCACGGTAGAGTTGTGTTTAACACTGAAAAGGCATCACTGTATTACAGTGATAATTCTGATGGTGAGATTTCCACATCTAAGATTTGCCAGCTGATCTCTCTGTCCTTATCAAGGAAACTCTGTAGTATCATGTGCTGCAGAAATAGAGGAATAATTCCTTTCTGTGTATGCTAGAATTACCTTTGGCAGCTGGAAAGATGTAATGCAGTGGGATACAGTGGTGAGGGGTACAGCTTACAGGAGAAAGGATGGAGGTTTAGTGGAAAAGGGGGCATTGAAAATAGAATTATTAAGTGTTTTTTTTTTTTTTCTTACTTGGAATATTCTGTCACTCCTCCTGATGCAAATTGTGAGTAGGAAAAGCAGTGTCCTGGGAAAAGGCACAGCAGCCAGGGAGAGGGGAAGTGCCATGGGAGAGCTGGGTTGTGCTGGCTGGCGCATGGGGTGCCTGAGCTGCTCTGGAGGAACAATTCCTACATTGTGCAGGCCAGATGTGCACAGAGCAGTGTGGGAACAGCTCAGAACTGCCCTCGCTGCAGCAGCCCTGCCATTCCCTTGCCATGACAGTGCATCCCTTAAGCAACTTCTCCCCCTCTGATGGGAGGAGAGTGTTTCCCGTAGGAAAGCTGGAGATGTGCAGCCGTATGTCCTGTGAGCAGCAGCTACACGGGGAGGTGGGAATTTGGGTAACAAAACCAAGCGAACAAAATCCTTACTTAGCATCAGTCTCGGAGGCCGACGAGGTTCTGAGTGTGCATTGAACACACTGGAGGAGACCACGGGAGGAAGGCAGGCTGCTGCTCGTTGTTGCGTGGCTGTAGGGGAATAGTCTGCCCGTGGTGCTTTGCTCCTTGGTGACTGTCTCTAGTTATCCTGGTAGAATCATAGGGAGCGGAGCTGGCCAAACATCAGAGTGGCTGGTCCTGTATTCCAGAAAGGACTGGATTGTTTGGAAGCCGTAGCAGCTCCCGAGGGAGGAGGAGGCCTCACCGTGGAGCTGCCGGTGTGATTTCCAGCACCGCCGCCTCAAACCAGCATTTCCCTCGCTGGCTTTGAGTAAATTTTGGTGAAATCCCAGGTGGAGAATGGTACAGGGAGCGAGTTCCGAGGAGGAGCGGCGGGCAGCAGCCCATGGATGATGAGGGCAGGTGGGAACCGGGTGAAGAGAGGTGGTGGGGGAAGGTTGCGGGCCGGGATGCCGCGGGGCGGGAAGGCCGGGAGGGACACAGCGCATCCCTCCGCATCCCTCCGCCGCCGGGACGGTTGCCAAGGCAACGGCTGCGTGGCAACAGGGCTGGCAGCGGGGGCCGCCCGCCGCCGAGCCGCCGCCGCGGCGCGCAGAGCGGGCGCGCTGCCCTCCTCCTCCTCTTCCTTCTCCCTCCTCCTCCTCCTCCTCCTCCTTCTCCTCCTCCTCCTCTTCCTCCTCCTCCTCCTCGTTAGATGCTGCGGCGGCCGCCCGGGAGCAGCCCCGCTCCGCGCACGGCCGCCGACCGCGGGCAGCAGCGGAGCGGCGCGGAGATGGTACCGCTGGTGCGGAGCGCCGGGGGCTCCCACCAGTGGCCGGCGATAGTGGTCCTCGGCCTGTGTTGTCTCCTACCTCCCGGGCGACTCGCTGCTCCCGGTGGGGACTTCCCCGGGGCGACCGTGGACAATCTGGTGGTCAGGAAGGGGGACACGGCGGTGCTTAGGTAGGAAGCGATATGGGTCGCGATGGGGTAGGAGGGATATGGGGGGTGTCGGGGAGCACGGAGCGGAGCCGCTCTACCGGCCCCGTCGCCGCAGCATCCCCGGGGACCGCTCGGGTCTCCCGCGGGATGCTGCGGTGACTGCCTGTATCCCCGGGGTGATGGTTGATGGCGTTGGGGGGTCCCGGTGCTAGCTGGAAGAGGTTTTAACTCTCCCACTTTGGCCAGAGGTCTGTTGGTAGAAGTTGGCAACCGCAGGGTTGGGGGGGGGTTTGGCTTCCGCAGCACTTCCCGGCTCCGCAGGAGCGGGAGTTGCGCCCCGGCAGAGCCCCCGCGTTGCTACAGCTTATTTCTGTGCTTTTTCCTATTTCCCAATGGAAAGGCTGCCTTGACCCCGCGCTTCCAGCAGCCCCAGCCCGGCTGGCTGGAGCAAAACCTGTTCGCCAGTGGTCGCACGCACTTAATCTGCTCGAATCCTCCGATTTCTGCCCGTTAATCCTCTGGCTTGATTTAATTATTCCCCACCCCCTCCCAAACTTTGTATCCATTTATACTTTTAAATCCTACACACATTATCGTACTTTTCCCATTATTTTGCTCTACTTGAATTAAGCCCCATCTTCTGCTCCCGGGAACGCTGCTGCAGGGGTTTGAGCCTCTGCCGGGGTCCAACCTCGTATTCAATTGCCGGCAGTTTGAAGCAATGAAGTATCCGGCTGCATTATGTTTTCTTGGGGTGTCACTCGCTCAGGCCTCCAGGTTCCAACCTATTTTAGGCAGATGCCTTTTTACCAGTCCCATGATCTGCCATAGAATGCTGTAGAAGGCATTTTCAGTGGTATTTGGGGATGGTTTTATGGCAAGGCAGCCTGCTTCTGGTGTAGTAGCTGCTGAAAATACAGTAGATGTCTATGTAGGGCAACTGACAAGTATTTTCTATGTATCCCCCGGCCAGCCTCTGTGTTTGGAGGGGTCCTGAAGCCCTCGTGCTCTCTGCCTGCAGAACTGGGTATCTAAAGGAAATAATCTAAACAAGAAAGTGCCTTATTTGTACTGTTTCAGGCATAGAGGTGGCAGAGAGGGTAACGCAATGGGTTCGCTCAGGCAGTGCTAGACGTTATTAGGATGTAAACAAATATAGGTTTGGAACTACCTTAGTAAAACCTGTGGACTTGCCTCTGGGTGGGTTTCAGCTGCAACACAGTCGGTTTCTGGCCTGAGTCTCTGTCTGAAACTCGGTGCCTGTGCAGCTGGATAGGTTACATAAATGAAACTGGAGCCGTAGGATGAAAGCATCACTTTTGTCTCAGGAGGGAGGGAGAGGATCTGTTTTGCAAAGAGATGCTGCTGAAGGAAGCATTAACATCGCTACCAAAGCAATTAGGTGCTGAGATAACGGTGCCTTAAGTCTGTCTTGTCATTCTTCTTGCCCTATGATTAACTTCTTCCAGTTCATATGCCTGTTGTAGGCTTTCTTTCAGACCAGTTTATTTTGCTTTCAGCTGGTGGTGCCCTTTGAAAGGGGAAGTGCAGGATCAGTGTAAGAGACAGCACTTTGAGCAGAGGCTGCAGAACACGGGTAGAGCTGTTTATCTCGAGTCTTGCTGCACGTCGGCACTGCTCCTCCTCAGTTTTTCCTCACTGGGTATTTGCAACACTAATATATTTAAATATACATTTAATCAATTGCTGTTAGTATCCTAAGTCTGGGGGACCAGGCTGTTTATTTAAATACGAATCCCAGCAAGCTGGATAATGCAATTGGGGTGTTAGAAAAGGTGGTTTTACATCCAGCTCTGTCGCCGTCTGAAGGCAGCTCCTTTCTGCCGTCGCACCTCACAGCACCCAGGGCTGGCCATGCCCAGGCTCCTGGGGCAGGGTGGCCATGGGGTCCGCTCCCTGGCACATGTTGATTCACCTCTCAGCACACTGCTCTTATTCTGGCTGTTCTCCAGCAGCGAGGGCTTCAGAAGTTGCCTCCTCACTGCTCCTAAAGCATCATCCACATTCCTTGCTTGAATAATTGATGCTGAAGCATGGAAGTACTTCCCATGGCTTTGAGTCAGCACTTTTGCAGCTGCGAGGAGGTTGGGGAGATGTTCAGGGTGTGTGTTTTGGTGGAGGTGTCCCCTGTGGGGAGCGTGATGCTGGGCACTGGCTCAACAGACACCCTGCATCCGCTTCTGTGCATCTGAATTGCATATGGACCCACCTCTGGGGGTCCACAAGGAGCGTGGATGAGGGAGTTGTTGAACTGGGGATAAGCTTTGACTTGTGAGTCTCATTTTGAGCTAAAATAGCAGGGATGAAGGCGCGTGGGCTATTTCAGTGAATGAGGTGCTGAGCTGAGTGAGCCAAGTCCCAGTTCCCACATTAAGTTTTCATTGTCTTTGCTAAAGGTGAGAAATAAAGTCTCCGTTGACTGCTGAGGCTTTCCAGTAAAAGCCTCCAAGTGTTAACACGAAGTAAAACAAGTGGCACAGCTCCCTCATTTTCAAACAGTTAATGCATATGAATGTTTAATGCATCAGTTCAGCATTAAACTTGGGCAGCTATTCTCTAGTGCTGCTGAAGCCTGGCTGTGAGCAGCACTCCCAGCCCTGTGACCATCACCCCAACACCAGGCAACCCTTCAGCCATCACCCCTTACTGCACACTGTGGGGTAGGTGAAACCCTCATCCTTGCCTTGGTGGGTGCTTCTGGAACTCCCACAACCTCCCTAACCAACACAGGGCACAGCACCCCAGATGGACCCACTAAACAGTTGGCCAGTAACGTCCTTTAGCTCCTGTCTCGGTACAGAGCACATCTTAGCAATTGTTTTTCAAAGAGCATCTCTCATCACCAAAGGCTCTCTCTCTGATGAGGAGTTATTTCTGCAGCTTCCATAATTAAAGCCCTGGTGCCTTTTGTTTGTTTTCAGGCAGTGATGGATCTGCTCGTGTCACTGGTTCACGGAGTTACAAGGAATTATATCAGTAACAAGGTGGTTTTGTATGGCAGTACTATTTTGGGGAGCCGCTTGCTTCAGAAGTGGAGTTCTGTCCTGCAGCTCGTCTATATTCTTCCCATATATTCTTCCCAGACAAGCAGTTAAGATTTAATGAGAACACATGAGGAAGGAGAGAGCAAGCTGTAAAAATGTTATTTTATTGAAAGAATAAATGGCTGCATTGCAAACTGCTCGACATACAGAAGCAGTCTCTATTTCACAACTGGGTTTGTCTGCTGGATTTCTCTGTGGCTTCCTGTGCTGATGCTTATCTAGGTTACGGTGATTTCTGTGTGTCTCCCTTGGAGAGACCAGGTTTATGTTCCTTACCGGTCCCTACACGCCTCATCTGCATTTTGTGAGCAAACTCCCCTGGGTATCTCAATGTACAGATCTGGAGGTGATGGAAATGGCTCTCTCTACCAAGCAAAGGTTTTTTGCCTGCATTTTGTTTTTCTTAAAGCTCATGGATGATGAAAGCTGGTTTTACCTTGGTAACACTTTTAAATCATGCAATGACAGTAAGTGAAGTTTTAGAAGCTGAGTTTTACCATTATGTGATTACAGAGAAATTAATGAAATCCTAAAATCTATATGACACAGAAATGTTTAGAATCATAGAAATATATACTCTGCAACATGTAAAATACAGTGTAGCCTTCACTGCAAAGAGTTAAACCTCATGCTGGGAGCCATTGGGTGAAGGTCCCCAAAGGCTGTGGTGGAGAGCTGAAGTGGTGGAAGCTATAAACAGGTAACCACATCTGTGATCACAGGGCACACGTCGGTTCTTGTTGCATCCAGCTGGGAATACCGCGGATCAGCGCCAGGCCAGCCTTGTTAGCAGGTAGCTCAGACCTCATCGATGTGCCTTTGACAGCGGTGATCTCTTTTGGCCATCCTGCGCGAGTGTGGTCTGAGGTTTAGAGCAGCCAACAGACATCTGCGAAGGGGACTGTAGAGGAAGATGGTTCCTGGCTTTGGTCATAGGTCAGGAGGTTTGGGGGTTTGGTTTGTTTTCCAAGCTGGAATCCTTCACGTGTAGCCTGGCTGCTTCTCTTCCCACCTCGGGAGTTTCAGGTCTGTGCTGTGCTCAGTAGAGCTCTTCCCTGCTTCGGAGTCATCAGGTCTCTGCTGAAGCCTTTCAGGTCCTAGGGGGATGTAGGTGCCTAATTCGTGTTGTAATGCTGAGGGGGGGTATTGACTTCTGGCGGCTGGGACTTGCCACTTTTGCCTTCTCTTCCAAGACAAGCTGCCCCGTATAGCCAACAGCCTTTTAGCGAAGGAGCAACACTGGTTGTGGAAAGCTTTAACACATCTGCCAAATGTTCTTCATCCCTTGTCATTCGTATTACCGAGACCCGGGCATTTGGAATGGAAGCTTTGCAGTACCAATAGCGGGTGAATATCAAGTATATACAGCATATCTGTATTTCAAGATGCTCTATATATATTCTAGTATTACAGTCCCTCTGATGCATGTCCAGATACCAGGGCTGGCTGCAGTTGTGTGCACTCCTGTGTAAATGCAGGTATCTCTGGAGTGCTGGGTGGTGAAATAAACACAAGAGTACTCTCCTTTCTGGCTTTAAAAGGTGCATTTCTGACTCCCATCCTCTCTTGGTATTCCTGTGCAGTTCAGCATCATAAATTATTTGGCTGGGTGAAGCTTTGCTCCCGTCTCTCTGGAATGTGACTGTGGTACATGTAGACATACGGGCACACCCCTGATGAAATAAAGTTGTTGTTTGGGTAAGGCTTTCACGTTCCAAATCCCCACCAATTATGAAACAAGCACACTGTGGCTCCTGCCCCGTGTCTGTGCACATAAATTCAGAGTAAATTAAAATAATTTATCATTTTAAACAATCATGAAGGTTTCAGACGTTGTGCAGAGGAGCCAACAGCGTAAGGAATGAAAATCAGAATTTCTTCCAAAGGGAGTTCTATTGAGGAAAAGCCAGCGTTAAATGACTTTCTTTGTATCATCTACATTCAGGTACCTGAAAG